GGGGGGGGGGGGTCAAACTTCGGTCAACACACACTGGATGTCAGCATCGCCGCGCAGTAAGTTACGCAATTGCGTCCCAAAATGATGTCGTTGATCACTCAGTCTTTTGCAAACTATTATAAACTAGTTTCCAAGCTTTTGTGCAGCCAAATTTATTTAACTTTGTGGCAATATGATCTTTTTAATTTCCCAGTCCTTTCTGTTCATTCATAGTCTTGACAACAAGTGTGAATTGCTGTGCGAAGATTTCGTTCCCGACCGCAGTTAGACGGCGTCATGAAATCTATGCATAAAAGGCGGGCGACCTGCGGCCGTTTGATTTCCTACTCTCCCTTAAGCTAGCGGTTGGTGAAAATGGTTATTAATATATTACCCGGTGTACTTTGTAGATCGGACAGTCCGCAATTGTGTTGAAACATTTTCAAGTTGGGGGCAGTAAGTAAAGTCAGAATATTGTTTTAAATAAAATATTCCATGGCAATCAAATCTAGGCCAAAGGGTCAAATTGCGTGCATATAATTATAGATAGATAAAAACTAAATATATTTGAATTTTTGACGGCTATTCAACGTTTGTGCAAACCATAATAAAAAAGGTATGTGTATACAATAGCTATATCGCTGAGATATGGAATTTGTTACAATATTGTACCGGCTCTAATATTGGACACATATAAAGTTGCGTTCGCGAACGATACAGAGTGGTATAGATTTGAAGAGCCGTTTAGAATTTATAATAGTTAACACTCGTTGTGACCCCAAACATTTTGACCACTCCTGTGCCAGTGACAAAAAACAATAAAAATGCGGTCGTTTTCCGGTCGGTAAAATACAGTGCGGTCGGAAATTAAGCGGTCGATTAAAAAGTAGGAAGTTGGGCGAAATAAGTACTGTAGTTCAAGTGATGTAAGCATATTTCTATTAATTCACTCACTGTTTACTATAGCCAGAACGCTGTACGTGTCTTCTCTTTCAGGTTAGTTCTTCTGCCGATATCTCGCAACTAACAACATGATTTTTTATTTGGGATTTCGAGAAACTTACTATGAATCGTTATGGCATTCATAACACAACACCTCGCCATGTTACAACTTTTGAGTTGTCAGTTAACAAGGCCTTTCATAGTAGCATTTCTAGGGGATTGACGTACTAGAATGAATGGCTTCAATTATCAGTGTTCACTGATGACATCATTGACTGGCCCTCTAGAGGCGAAATGACGCCAGGCAAAGCGGAAGTTTGTCGTCTGATTCACAGCCCGTTTTATACCAGATATTCGGGGCATTTCGCAGCACATACACATTGTTTTTATTGACTGAATTCATTCATAGATCTCAAATTTCATGTACAGAGTGACAAAAGCCACACCTCTGCTCCCCTTTAAATGAAACACTGACACTGTGTAAGAGGCATATGTACTGATTGTTTTGGTACGTACAATAACAATTGCAGATACATGTTAGTGTTTTTTTATATTTTTCATTCAACGAATACTATAAACTGTTGTATGTTACTAGTAACATAAATCACAATTAAACTAGGTCATCGACGCATAGCACGAAACAACAACATTAAATCTCTATATATATTCGTCCATATTAGATCTGAAACAAAATGTCTTCATGATTGATAATACTGTTACCAATATCATTGCAATACACCGTAGGGTCGGGAGGCGGTGTGGGGCAACACTTGGACATCGAACATTTGAAATGTTATTTCGAATTTCGAATTCTACTTCGATTAGACATTTCTAGTTTCCTGGGTGTCTTTAAAGACAACAAACATTAGGTTTCCCATTTTCTAACCAGGTAAGAGTAAATGTATAAATCGTGTAATGTGGCTGGCAAAATTATTTATCCGTAGTTATGCGTTTTTTTCTTTCAAAGTTGCTAACCAAATTTTACCCAAATGCCCCAGGAGTACCAGGTATGTGTTCAACCCACCAGAAGAGAGTACCATCCAGGTGATTTCCAGTCATCCGGGAACCTTTTTCTTGACAGTAATTTCAACAAATCGATGTAGTTTTTGACGACCTGTAATATAAATATAACATACATTCTTATTTCTTTGTTCGTTTTAAATAGTTTGACGTTTGTGCAACATCCTCGATGTATGTTTACATATCGTGATCGGCACAGAGCATGCTCAAATCGTAATGGGTGAATAATATAGTTACTCATATTTTTTCACTGAGATCACGTGAACTTGTCCTCCAAAACACGCACCAATCTGTTTTAAATGTCTTTAATTTGTCTGTATTTTAAATATTGATCAATTATGTAGAAAATCGAATTGGTTTTCAACGACAACTGTAACATGAACCCAGTTGCCTTGGTGACAAACACTGAATACGCATAGAGATTTACCCAAACCAATATACAAAGCAATGTATACGTAACATTAGTATGGCACTAATATATAATATATATATATCTAGTGGTCCGCCTATTATGAGGTGTCTGAAAGAAAAACATATGAAAGAACATATTCCGAGATATAGGTTAATGGATGTCATACAGCTACTCACGCATTAATGCCAACGCTTATATTTAGAATTGTTAATTAAATTTGTTTTCATGGTGATGCAATTCTTACAGTTGCCATGGAAACACACCAGCAATTATCCTTTCGCGGTAAACGCGTCTTGCTGTCATTAAAAATGTTTAATTCAATACACGTCGTTTCCATGACTATCCTAGGGCCGATAAAAAGTAATCATGTTATGTAAAAAAAGCAGGATCTGCGCTTTATTCGCGGTGTCTGACTGTGCATTAAATAGATGTATAGCTTGGTAGTTTTAGAGATACAATATGAATGAGAACATCTAATTTTGAATACTGCTGTTTGATACTGCATGTTGATGAAAACATTGGATTATGGTTTATCACGAATTTAAAACGTTGTTCATAAAACACACGCCCAGGTTTTCGTTCGATGAAACAGTGAAAGTCTTTAATACGCATTGTGCGGTAACTCTTTTGGCACGTACACTAACAATCACCGAACATGCGTATTAGTGTTTTAATTTTTCATCCAACGCATAATATACAGTGTGCCTCAAACGTAAAATTATTAGTGTACGATAAAGCATAATTCAAATTGATCTCATCAAATAACAATATACAAAATTTATATGTTTTCGTTCATAATACATCTTTAACGTGTAAGAAATATAAGTAGACTGAAATGTCGACGAG